GTGTGTGTGTGTGTGTGTGTATACACAAATGATGATGAAGATGAGGAACTGGCAGTGGAAACAGAGCAGATAGATGAAGAGATGGCAGGGCCGGAAAATGAAAGAGAAATTGTAAATTCAGGATCTGATGTCAGTGGAAACCAGTGATGACCTCGAACACAGTAATCAAAAAGCAAGAGAAGCAAAAAAAAAACCTGTGTGTGTTTCTTTTTTCTTTTTCTTTTTTTCAATATGTTTTCTGAACCCCGGGCTGTGTCAGATGACCATCAACATACAGAGGTGCACTTCTCTGGCCACAGTGTAACTGAAGTACAATCCATGAGACCAGAGATGAGGTAAGATGTAGCTGTCATATCATTTAGGCAAAGATTTATCATTTATTCACAGTATTAAAAGTTTTTTTTATTTTTTTTATTTCTGCAAAAACAGCTCTACTTGAAATAAGCCCAATATTCCTAAATGTGACAAAACTGTCTTGTTTTGAGAAAAAAAAATCTGCCAATAGGGTAAGTAAAAGTTGCTTGGCTAGAATCCTTAATCACGTGTCTTCCTTTGTTCAACTGATAGATGTAGAAAGAAAAAGAGAGCAGTGTGAGTCATACTGGTGCTGTAGCTGAGCTGTTGGCTATTGCAGTTTATAGGGCTTGTTTCAGATGTTTGAAGATTGAAGCCATTTTCTATCTATCATGCATCTAACTGATTTATACCTTTTAATTAGACAAAACTGTCTGAAATTTAGGATTAATTTAAGAAAATGTGACTTATTTCAAGGAAAGACACCCTGACACCCTTATTAAGACATCCTTATTAAAAAAAATCTTTACCTATAATGAGTAGTATGCTTTCTTCAACAAGCTGTTTTCAGAAATTATTTCCTTACTTTAGTGTTTAATGTGTTTAATTTATTACAGGCTATTACAGGCCTTTCCATACTCTTGAAATAAGAAAGATAATGTTATTCTTCCAGAATTATTTTTCTTATTTCAAGAATCAGAACCACAATCAGAATTGAGTAAGGTTAGATTAATTTGCTAGTTTTAATGACCTTAGCCAAACAACTTTTACTTACGCCATTAGTAGATTTTTTTCTCCAAACAATACAATTTTGTCAGATTTAAGAAAATCTGGGTTATTTTAAGTAGAGCTGTTTTTGCAGTGTACCCTGTAACTGGTAAATAACGCTCAAGATGAGCTGAAATATTTTGTTAAGAAAAATTTAGACATATTTTCCTAGAATTAGCTTAATTTTCTCGTGCAAAACTTGCTTGTTAAGAATATGTTTTCTTTCTAGACAAAAAATATGAAAAAAATTCCATAAACAAACGTTTTTTTACTCGCAGTGCGGACATGTCAGAGGCCCCGTCGTCTGGGCCCTCAGCCAGCTCTGGTTTGGATCTTGATCAACTGAAGAGGGAAAAAGTAAAAATGGAACTAAAGGTTTTAAAATTAAAAGAATACTATTATACTTTGAAAATAAAAGAACTTAAAAAATGAGGATTAATGCTTCTGTAAAGCTGACATTGCAGAGAATAAATTAAACGATCGCTGTGTTTACATCCACAAACTGACACACATTATCTGAAGGTTTCTTGGGTGGAATGTTACTTTTGAGAAAAGCTGCAAAGTCAAGTGTGCTGCATTTATACACCGTACTTTTTCCTTGCCATACTCAGGTTTCCTTTAGTATTGTTGATTACAGTGTTTTACTTTGTTTATATGATGGAATAGATAGATGGTATTTTCTTCTGTAAAATGTGAATAAACAATATTGATGCTTTTTATCTGTAAATTGCGCAAATGTTATGAAACTGTGTTTCCTTTAGACTTTGCCCAAGCTGCAGTAATCATTGTAACACGTAGCCTGTAAACAGCATCATGCAATGTCTTGAACCACTGCTCATTTCTTTATATTTTGCATCCAAGGAGCAAGAGCTTTTAGAAATTTGTAAGACAAAAGCAATAGATTAGACAAAAATATTTTCATGGAAATTTGTTCAACCATAATGAGAAAATACAAAATGAAAAAAGGAGAGTTTCAGTGCTGTGTGTGTTATCTTTGCCATTTTTCTTTTTTCTTTTTTTTTTTATTCAAAACCTAAATATAGTTAGGGTAGGTATATATAGACTAGATTCAATTGATCTACACGAAATAACTCAAGAAGAAAAAGTTATCAGGCTATATTTAATTATCCTATAGGCTCTAATTCTTAATTGACATTCAGGTCCACACTCCATGCCAGTTGGTGGCATTAATGAACCAACTAGCTTTTTGACAACCACGGACAAACACCAAGAAGATTTTTTTTTTCTCTTGGGGGAAAAAAGTAAACTTAAAAAAAATCTCTCATGTCTTTTGAAGAGTAAACTTTAAAAGTAAGTACTGAGTTTTATCTCATTTATTTATG